AACTGGCGTTTTTATAAACGATGACTATTTTAGATTTCCTAAGATCTTCTTCTCTATTATTCGTATCTACGATTGGGATAACTCATTGAAAATAAAAGAATAAATATAACCAGACACTGTAGTCATGTAAATAGAGGCACTATAGAACGTGTGCCGACTTCGTGGCGCAGTGGCTTGGCATTAACTTGTGGCGCTGCGAGCCGCGGTTCGGAATCCCGCGCGAAAAAAATATTTGTATGGTCTACTAATAATTGTTTCAACTATGTAATTTATGTTAGTAAACTGTCTCAACGATACAGGAGAAAACTTTAGTGTGGGGGTAACATTTTGTTTTTTGAAAGCTACAATGAGCAAGTTTATAAGCAATTATTTATTTCATCGATTTGTATGAAAGGTAGGTATACAATCCCCAAATCAAATGTGTTTGATCTTACCCAAAAATCAAATCTGCATACCGAAACACAGTCACTGTCACACAATGTTGTTCACTAGCACGAATATGTTTACATACGAGTACATATTTCACATTAAAAGGGTTATGACAGAGATGAACTGATGATATAGTAAAATGACATCCAAATAACATTATCTACCACCTTTATAATAACAAAGATTTATTATTGGTGGTCACTACCGTAACTCTTCCTATGTTCATCTCAAATCAAATCAAACCACGACGCGTAATGACGGCTTAAGAGAATCCACTGCCCCAGATCATACCATGGGTGTCGTACAAGGCAAGTCTCTGTCTTGCGGCGTGAGAGGTGACAGGGGGAAATGGAACAGGAGATGAACAGCATACTATTCAAAATAATAAAAAAATGCGTTTGCCAACCCACCTGCCAAGTATGGCAACTATGTCATATATGTTCCATATGAAGCAATCTTTGGGGGAGGTGTATGTTCAGCAGTGGACTTTCGATATTGTGCAATGAATGTACGATGAATGAATTGGGCAGTTAAATATTTTGTTATTTAAACAAACTAAACATTTATCTACATAACGAAATTGTTTACGATATTTATTTTAACAATATAATACTAAAAACATAATTGTCAATCGAACCCACACCCCACGTTATAGTGGTGAGAACGCTGGCTGCATTTCCTGAAGTTATTGAGTAGCGCACTATTAATTCAAGAGAATTTGTTGCGACTTGTCCGTCGGCGGATGGCTGCTCCTGTATTATTGTTACAAAATAATGCTTTGAAGTGGGTTGGCTAAAAGAGATGCAATTTTGTAGTTTTTTTTTTAGTTTTGCAAAATTGCTGCGCATTTGAACTATTAGCGGAAACGATGAAACAAGTGCTCCGATAGTCATGTGAACCTCAATTATTTTGTCCTCCTTTGCTTAGCTCCTTGCCTACTATCGTCATTGAATGTCGTCGAAATCTCCCAAAAACTTCGCAATGTGATATTGTGAATGAAATAGTTTCTTATTAACTGACAACCGTACGAGTCCATTACCAAAGAACTTGCAAATTAATGATGGTAAAAATTAATTGACGGTGACCAACGTAGTTCAAATGTAAAGACAAGCACCAACCCAAGACTTCAATCAAAATTGCGTCGAGCGGGCATTCATGTAGGTAGTGATAGCGCGAGGGGTTGCGACTGCAGTGCCTAGGGAACGAGGGAGGGGGGGGGGGAGGTTGACAAGCTAAAGAATTTAATTCGGCAGCGCGCCCCTCGCGGCGCAAATTAATTTTAATCACCGTCATTAGAGCAGAGCCGCCTCCTTTCAAGTCGCCGCCGCGGTTTTTGCCCGCGCGCCCGCAGTGGCTTCAGCGGCCGATCTTTGTCATCATACCGCTTATCCACATCTCTCTACTTTATGAATTATTATCTGAGCGCTGTAATAATAATGTATGAAATATTTATGAACAATAGATAAAAAAAGCGCAAAGAAAGCGATTATTCCCGCAAATTCTGATATTTGGTCCCTAACATTGAATTTCTAAAGTAAGGTAAATGGATCCTATTTAGGTATCTTAAAGTGTTCAAAAACACTTTTATCGGTTCTATATAGACAAAATTGAATTAATCAATTTGAACCTAGATGATTTGGTATTTTTTGGGATTAAGCACATTTAACATCAAGTTAATTTGGGCGATAGCTACCTATCACAATTGTTAAAAGAGATTATTTAAAAAAATATATGAATGGACTTCTTTTATCATCAGGTTTCAAATTCATATTGGTTTAATGCGAAAGTACTTATTAGATTTTTTTATTTCTTTTATTTTAAAAACACGTACCTCCAGGATTTTCTCCTGTACCGTGGAAGCGGTTTAACACTGACCTCAGAGCTGGTGAGTTACATACCTACCTACCTAAAGATATAATCAAACTGATAGCTTCTTACTTTTCAAATCATACTATGTCAGTTACCTATATTAATACCCGTATTAATTAACTGACGTGCATAATCGATTACTAGTTTGGTCCTATTTTGAAAACAATGTTACAGTATGAACAGGTTTACCTAGAGGTAACTAAAGGCTTCTAAATTTTAAACAAAGGGCGATTCCTATTGCAGTCGCCTCATATTGCTACCTGTTGCCATGTTCTATTAAATTATATCTCGCTATACGCGAGAGTTACAGTTTCCTAACGTAGGTACCTATACTAAGTTTAACTTTATCCTGTTATTAAACTATTGCTATAATGTCGAGATATTTTAACCAATTAGAATCTTGTTCAACTGTTTGTTTACATAGAACGTAACCCTTTCGTTATTATTTCGACAGAAAAAAAACTATAATTAACATGAATATCTCGATGGGATTTCTATTAATTTTATTTGATTTAGGAGAAGGTGTTTCAGGTGGAGGGGGAGGGGAGAGGGGGGGGGGAGGCGTTTCAGAGCGCGCCGCGTCGCTCGTCACTGGCGCAGCTAAATCATTTCCTTACGTGGTAGAGCCACGCGGCAGCTTTTGCTGTCTCACGGATGGGCCGGCTCGAACCGGGGTAGTACCACGACCTCACAGAAAACCAGCGTGAAGTAGAGGTTTACCTCTGCGTTTCGCTTGGTGAGTGCAGGTGGCCGGAGGCCCTTTTTACTGGAAATGAGGCATTCCATCTTAGTCCTCACGGGTGACAACGCATCTACATTTTGATTTGTAACAGAGGATAGATGTAGATGTCTATGGGCCGCAGCAGCCACTTACCATCAGGTGGACTGTGTGCTCGTTTGTCACCCTTATCCTATAAAAAAAAAAATCACAATTAAAGCATCCGTGCCGCGCGCGGAATCTCTTTGAAAATGAAAATATAACCGCCCGCCTTTTGCTCTGAAGGCACCGCCACGTGTCCGTCACTCGATTACCTGTGAGGAGGCGTGTCTGACGGATACCTAGATATACCTATAGGTATTTGTATGGATGTAATCGAAAACAACAACGCACGCAAACAACATATTTTCAAGCAGGCTCATTATTTAGACTAACACATCCACACACTACCGTATTAAAAATAAGACCGTTTTTTGCATTTTAATTTTTATTTAATCCTGGCTAATTCGCAATATTTCAATAAATTCAAAATATCAAAATTGCAACTAAAAGGGAAATTGCATATTGGGTAGGCAATCTATTCTTTTAATAGATATGTGTGTTTATTTATTTACCTACAAAATATACAATAGATATCTCATCTATATACTACCCTATTAAAAAAAGGCTAGATCTACTAGATATTATTGCATTTACCTATAAATACATTTTTTTTGATTTACGGACATCAAGAGAGAGATTTAGCCGCCCGAGTGCTTCAGGGCTATGAGCCTGGACAGAAAACCAGTGTTATAGCTGAGGCCAGTTCTTTTCGCTTTATCATGCTGCAGCACAGGGTTTTTTTAGGTGTATTTTTATTAATTTATGAGGTTAGTAAATATACTTCGTTTTATTTATCTTTTTGTCTATTATAATTTTTTTATATTATGTGCTGCATGCTTAAACTGGAATAAACGCGTTTCTTTCTTTCTTCCTAACAAACAAACCTTCTAAGTGAGGGAGGTATTCTTGTCCTCGGCTCTTCTATCTATATAGCTAAAATATCTAAGATGGCTAAGATAAGGGAGACAAAAAACCAATAAACGTTGACGTAACTAAATGTAGAGGAGTGTTCGGGAACCGCGAGGATACTGGTCCGTGGCCCGCGGGCAAAAACTGCGCGCCGAACAATGCTTTGATCTGTTGCGGCGACCTCGCTCGCTCTAATGGCTCTCAGGTTTTAAAATGACCCTAATTTTCTAAGGAAGGTAGAAAGGAAATCTCTAAAAAACATATGTGCAGTTCACACGCGGTAGAAGAATTAAACCTTCCGAAAATTAAACGCCGAGAGAATGGGACGAACGTGAATGTCAGGAGTAGGATAAGTGTAGGGTTTTTTTATTATATTATTACAAAATTTAAAAAATATTTTACATTACATATTACATACATAGTATACAGACTCCAAGTTGTCAACTTCTCAAGTAAGCATCTTCATCTTCGTAAGTACTTACTTAAATATTTTGTAATCAACAAATTTATAATAAGAATATGTATGTACCTATTCTATCTCATTCTCTCGCAGTTGAAAATGAAATTATAACCGCCCGGCTAAATTCGCAGGCTAGTCATTACAAAAAAATTTCGGGGCCTCCATACCTTTAAATCCGGCCTGAAAATACTACTCCTACCTATTGTTTCAATCATTCACGAATCCACTGCTGAAAATAGACCCGCTAATATGCTCGCTACAATGCTTTAAACACGGCAAGACACATGCATCCATCGATTTATATGGCTGGCATATCGCATATATTATCATGTCGTTATTCAATCTAGTTGGGAGTCATTACATCGCTTACCAGTACGAGGCTGCCTCTCGAGAACCCTCCATCTCTATCGGTTATTGTTATTTCAATTAATTGATAAGTTAGGGTACGCGGGTTATTCTGGTTCTTTTGTTGATAGGTTTATGTGAGTGTGTAAGTGGCAACATGTTACGTACCGGGCACCGCGGTGTAGGAGTAGGGCGCGCAGGCGGCGGGGTCGAGGTGCGCGTGGGGGTGCGGGTGGTGCGGGTGATGGGGGTGGTGCGCGTGCTGCGCGCCCCACTCCACCGGCTTGTACTGCGCGTGCAGCCCGCCGCGGCCCAGCAGCAGCCCGCCGTAGCCCACGTGCTGGTAGTCGCGCGCGTAGCCGTACGGCTGGTGCCACGGGTCGTACTCGTACAGCTCCAGCCCGCAGCCCGCGCCCGCGCTGCCCGCAGGGGCCGCCGCGTTGAAGAACGACGCGGGCAGGTTGCGGGACGCCAGCGGCACGCTCTCTGCGACAACAACACTACCATCAACACACATATCTTTTGATATTATTTGTTTCACAGAAACGTAGCTATGCATAATAGAGAGCCACGCTGCAGCTATATTATGGTCGTAGCACGAATGGGTCGGCTTGACCGGGGAAGAACCACGCTCTCACATAACATATACTTAAACCAGCAGCTCAATGCTGCTGTTTTTCGTACGGTGAATGCAGAGAAACGAGATGTGCCGTCCGAGTCCTCAGGGATCACAACCACAATGCATCTGCATTTTGATTCTTAATCGAAGATAAATATATATGTCTGAGGACCACAGCATCCACTTACCATCACGTGGACTATGTAGGTACTCATATATACTCATATATACCCTTATCCTATAATTAAAAATAACATACCTAATGCGTAGGTATATACATTGTGTATATGTGCGGGCAAAATTAAGAATTTCAGTGGCCAGACAACTAAATTTTCTAATAATTTAGTCACCATGATTCTGGATCAGAAGCATAAATACAAAAATTTTAAATATTGAGAGATTTCATTGACCGACAATAAGCAATTTGTAATACCAACTAATATACAGGGCACAATACAGACTAATTATTTGATAATTTTAGTATTCTCTTAATTTATTGCAGTATAACTCTCACGCCAACATTAACAATAGAATATTGGACCTTGATTTATCTAATAGTGATGTTCTCGTCTCTCATTGCTCTAATCTATTTGTCACTGAAGACTTGCAACACAGAGTCTGTGAAGTAACGCCTGGTTTTATTAATTACTAGCGACTTCGTCCTCATGAAATTCATTACGATTGGATTTCATGATGGGTTTTAATTTTTTTGCGCGGAACCCTATTTTGTATTTCTAAAATAAATGTAGAGTTACTCTTTATAACATCAAATATCTGCCAGTGACAGTCCCATACAATCGGTCAAGCCATCTCGGAGATTAGCCGGAACAAACAGACCAAACAACATAAATTTTGTACCTACCGTATATACTTTCGTAGGCATTAAGTAAAAAGCTGTTTGTTATTTTGAAATTACAAACAGACACTTCAATTTTATTTATATGTATAGATTATATACCGTATAATTTTATTTATATGTGTAGATTATTGCCGTGTAGTGGCGGTTAAGAATATCCACTACCCCATATCTTCCCGTGGGTGTCGTAAAAGGCGACAAAGGGAAACAGGCAGGAGATGGGCAGCAGCATCTTCCTGATAATAGCCAAAATAACAATAAAAAAACCTGCGGTTGCCAACCCGCTCGCCAAGCGTGGCAACTATGGCAATATACCCCCCCATGAGCAATGACAATAATAAACGGCCCCCAGTCCCCGGCGGACCCGCTATTCCTGGCTACGGTGGCGACCATGGTAACGGCGCGGCAGGGGGTGCTAAGAATCTCCGGTGGAGGTTCGGTTGCCACCTACGACGACTCGACCTGGCAACATACAACGCACGCACCCTGAGGACTGACGAGAAGATTGTGGAGCTGGAAGAAGAGATAGACAAGTTACGCTGGCATATTATAGGATTATCCGAAGTCCGAAGAGAGGGGGAGGACACGGTAATCCTCGAATCCGGCAACTTGCTCTATTACCGGGAGGGCGACCATCTGTCCCAAGGAGGTGTCGGATTTATCGTCCACAAGTCTCTCGTTAACAACGTTGTAAAGATTGTAGAGTGTGTCGACGAGGGTTGCGTACCTTATACTCAGAATCACCAAACGGTATTCGCTGAAGGTCATACAGGTTTACGCACCAACCTTGTTTTATTTAAAATTGCAGACTATATGATGTTCTTATATATTAATAATAACATTCAAAGGTTTTGGACTGTTGGCAGCTCACATGTAGTTTATCACGATAAATTACAAAAATACAATTTTGCATGCATTTGTAAGTATTATTTTTTTATTATTCAGCAAGTGTTGTGCACGATAATTATTTTGTATTGTCATAATATTAAAATTTTTAATATAACCAAAATTATACTGAAACTAACTTATTTTTTTTACCTAACCTGGATGTGTTATTTACTAATAAATCAACTCTTTATACAACAATTTAATAGAGAAAATAATTTTACGATGCTGGCTCTCTATTGTGGTGATCTTTATATATACAATATAATATTAATGTCAATCGAAGTTTCTCTTATTATATATATCTACAGAAGTTAGGAAGGACAAAAGAATATCTGTGTATTATCAAAATGTGCGTGGACTTAGAACGAAATGTGTAGATCTTTATAAACAAATTGCGAGCAATAGCTACGATATCCTATTATTTACTGAGACGTGGCTTCAGAATGACATTCTAAGTTCTGAATTATGTGATAATCGTTATGACGTCATGCGTTTAGACCGTAACTTACCTCAAACACAGAAAAAAACTGGTGGTGGTTTAATGGCCTGCATAAGGAGTGAATATGGAGCTAGACAAATGCATGGTTTTAGTTCTAACCTTAATACTGAGTTACTCTGTATAACGTTGCCTGCAGGTGAGTTGGGAACTAAATGTAACCTAAATATTATTTTGGTATATATTCCTCCTGATTCATATAATATACCATCGCAACTAAATGAAGTAAACAACTTTGTCACATCGTTAACTGAGCGGTACCCAGGAGACACATGCCTATTGGTGGGTGACTTTAATCTTCGGTGCTTAAAATGGCAGGATGGTCATCACGAATTACTTCATAACATGAGTATGGAAATTCAGGATGCAGCACTATCGCTTGTGGAGGGTATGATTTTCTTGGGCTTAAATCAATTTAATAGTATTTTAAATGGTAACAGACGTACACTGGACTTAGTATTCTGCAATCTAAACACAGAAGTTCTAAGATGTTCTTCCCCTCTTTTGACAGAGGACAAACATCACCCTTCTTTGTATATTGACATCACTGATCTATTTGTGACCCCTTTCAAAGAAGTCGTCACACCGCGACGTGATTTTTACAAATGTGATTATGTTGCAATTAATAACTTCTTTATACAAACTGATTGGGATGGTACGCTGCAGAATAAATCGATGGACGAGGCTACGACATTATTTTACAGTAAATTAGAAGAATGTTTTGATCAATTTGTACATATAAAAAATAAAACTAGCACTAAAGAATATTATCCCATTTGGTATAACTCTGCTTTAATAAAAGTCATACGTGAAAAGAGCAAGATACATAACAAATGGAAACGCTTTATGAATCCTCGTGATTACGATGAGTTTGCTTTGCTACGTTCTCGTGTAAAATTACTTCAGCAACAATGTTTTAATAAGTATATCAACTGCATGGAGGATAGGATTCATCTCACTCCCAAGGCTTTTTGGTCATACGTTAAATCGAAGCGTGGTGGTTCTCGATTCCCCAAGCAATTAAGTTACCAGGGTAAGTCCATTACTGATGGCAATGCTATATGTACTGAATTTAATAGTTACTTTAAGAGTATGTTTTCTGGTTCTTGCCCTCAGTATGCTAGATCTGTAAATGGTGACGGTGAATGTTGCACCTTTGACACAATATCTGGTCTAACCGTAACAAAGGATGACGTTTTTAATATGCTTAAGACGCTAGATGTTTCTAAAGGCCCTGGGTGTGATGGAGTAGCACCCGTATTTTTACGCAACTGTGCTGAGTCATTGGCATATCCTATATATCTATTATTTAAGACATCGATAAACCAATGCGTCTTTCCTACATTGTGGAAAAAAGCATTTATTATACCGATTCATAAGAAGGGTTCAAAAGTGGAAATAAGTAATTACCGTCCCATTTCTATATTGAGCACAATTAGTAAAATGATGGAAAAAGTTGTTTATAATAACATTTACCCTGTAATTGTAAAAGGCATTTCACATCATCAGCATGGCTTTTTAAAACGAAAGTCTACCATCTCTAACTTGGCAGAATTCTGTGACTATGTTATTTGTGGGATGGAAGACTGTGGACAGGTTGATGTGATCTACACGGATTTTGAAAAAGCTTTCGACCGTGTGGATCACAGCATCCTCTTAGACAAATTGTACAGGCTTGGAATTCATGGTGACTTACTAAGATGGACTACCTCTTATCTCTCTAATCGTTCTCAAGCTGTTGTCATTGGTGGTTTCAAGTCTGATTTCATACAAATTACATCAGGTGTTCCTCAGGGATCACACCTTGGTCCACTTTTCTATTCTGCATATATATATGATATTAACCAATGTTTTGAATTTTCAAATCATCTACTTTACGCTGATGACAAAAAGGTGTTCATGAAAATTAACTCGATTAAAGATTGTGAACTAATTCAACGTGACTTGGATAACTTACACTCATATTATGTCCGAAACAATATAACAGTAAATATAAGTAAATGTCAATGTATCAGTTTTAGCCGAAAGAAAAATAAAATTGTTTTTCCGTATCACTTTAAAAATGAAGGCATAAAACGGACTGAGATAGTAAAGGATTTAGGTGTTTTCCTTGATTCTAAAATGATGTTTTCTGAGCATGTCAACCATATCGTAAATAAATCATATCGCAATCTGGGGTTCATTATGAGGACTTGTAAACCTTTTAAAAACATAAACAGTCTCAGATCTATCTACTACGCATATTGTCGCAGTATTCTAGAATATGGTAGCTCCATATGGTCGCCGCAATATGCTTTGTATATAAACAGATTGGAAAGAATACAAAAACTCTTCATAAAGCACCTCAATTACAAAACCGGCATGCGTCGTTGTGAAACTTATAATGAGGAGTGTATTAAATACGGTCTCTTGTCGCTGGAATCTAGACGAGAATTACTTGATATGTGTTTTTTGCATGATATCCTTCACAGTAATATTTACAGTCCTAATCTTCTCGCAGGTATCCAGTTCTGCACTCCTAAGTACCGTACTAGAAAGACCCCACTTTTCAATGTACCTAAACATCGTACCAAATACGGTATGAACGCTGTCATGACTCGTCTACCCAAAATTTATAATAGTAAATA